CGTTGACGTGGGCAGTTTTTCATGCGGCATTCAAACAAAAGTCCAGGTTTCGAACTTTTATATTTTTTTTATATAAAAATAAATGTTTAAGCCTCAAAAAAAAAAAAAAAAAAAAAAAAAAAAAAAAATACAATTTTCGGTTTTACATAGCAATTATTTTAGAAAGAAACACAATATTACATATTTACGTAAGTTTCTAAAATATATATAATATTTTGTTTAACAATATTCTACTCAAACAATATTACTAATAAATATTATACTCTTATAATATCACAATATATATTATTAATACATGTATCTCAATATATATTACTAATAAATATTATACGCAAACAATAAATATTATAATCTTAATAATCTACTTAAACAATAAGTTTGTGTAATTTCAATTTTTTATAAATTTAATTAAATAAGACAAAAATTTTAAGTTAAATAAATTAAAAATTATTTTATTTAAAATTAGTAAAGAATTATACCTCTAACCTAGTAGTTAACTACTAGGTTCCACTAATATTTCATAACTAGTTATAACCTATTAGTAGAAATAAAAAACAAATATGAACCTAGTAGTTATCCAATTTAATAATTTCCAAACAATTTTCTAATAATTAATTTAAATGTGAAAAACTGAAATAATTTTAATCATTTGTTATATACATCCTCAATTCTATTGAGTAATTATCCTTTAAATTATAAGAAATGATTGTTTACTTTTTATTTGGTTTAAAAGTTGATACAAATAACTATAATTCAGACTTGTTTTTTTTTTTACCAGCATAAGTGACACTTTAGAATGTTTTATTCAAATAATTCATGCAATAATAGAATTATAATATAATTGTAGAAGGAACCCCTGAGTTTCTATACCCTGTATACTGACAGCACTCAATTAATAGTTTATGCAGCATTAGTAAAAAATGATATCTTGCTACAAAAAATAGAGAATATAAAATTGTAGGTAGGATGATTGCTACTTACCATGCTGTTATGTTATTAACCTTCTAGCATACAGGATTGGGTAACTAAGAACTAAAATGTACATAAATTATACACAAAACTTATCTATAATTGTAAATGCCATTTAATAATAAACTGAATTATTCAAAAAAAAAATTCTTTTTTTTGCTCTAATATTTATAAAATTCATTTGTTTTCTTTTGCCTTATTTAATTATTTTCTATCGTAGTTTGATAAAGCCATGTAAAATCTATATTGGTTTTACCGCTAGGAACTTAAATCGCCGCCATCTTGGGAGGCCAATTTTGGCTTCAACTTTTTTCGGAAAAATCAGTAGAATCCGCTATCCAGCTATATTTTGAGATCAGTGAACGGAAATATGTCGTAATCAACAAAGTATCGTACGGAAGCTTTAAGATTTTAAAATTGCATTAACTACACAAAGATTTTAACGAGCACAAAAAAATAGTGCAACGATAGACATGTTATAAAAATATACCTTTAGAAATGGAAGAATAAATAAAAAAAATTACAGGCAATAAGTTTACATCCCTCTACGTGATGCATTGATGTTGGACATAAATACACGTTTTTCTGATGAAAATTTACAATGTCTTCAAATCTATGCTTTGATGCCAAAAAATATTACTACACTAAATCATAAAGATTTTATTGAAACTCTTTCTGCAACCAGTAATGTCTATGGCGACTTTCTTAAACTTAGTATACAAAATTTACCTGCACCTGAATTTACATTGGAAGTTGAACTATGGCAGTGCAAATGTATAAAAATTAGGGGTGTACCGGATTGGAATCCGACCGGAACCGGATTTGTCAAAGTTGTTAAAAAATTCTGGCAAATCCGTTCTCGTTCCGGCCGCTACAAGTTTTATAATTATGTAGTTTTTTACCTTCAAGATTGAAAGTGAAAGCCTGCACCTCAGCATCGTTGCTACATGATATATATTTATAACCTATAATATATATATATATATATATATATATATATTATATATATATATATATATATACATATATATATATATATATATATATATATATATATATATATATATATATATATATATATATATATATATATATACATATATATATATATATATATATATATATATATATATATGATATATATATATATATATATATATATATATATATATATATATATATATATATATATATATATATATATATATTAGGAATATCTTGGTGCAAAAAAGAGTTGCTATCCCAAAACTAGATAGCAACTCTTTTTGCACCACAATATTCCTAAACTTCCAAAAATCTTAAGATAGGGGATTACTGCAAATAAAATTAGGCAAAGCTACAGATATGGGATTGTCCATAAATTACGCAACGCTAAATTGCACTAATAAACAAAGCAAATAAGATCAAACGTTTTCCCTCGCAGATTCTTAATTGAACCAAAACTTAAATTTGTTCTATAAGTTCAATAAAAATTGCTGCGCAAAAAAGCAAATGATCTCCGACTTTTCTGGTTTGGTTGCCATCCATTTTTTGACGTCTTGAGCCATTTTTTGACGTCTTGACAATCTTGAAATTGCTGCTTCGCTAGACCACGAGTCATTGACCGGAAAAGATGATAATCCGATGGGACGATGTCAGGAGAGTACGGCGGGTGTGGTAAGACTTCTCATTTGAACTTTTTTACCGTATCTTTTACCTCTTTTGCGACATGCGGCCTTGCGTTATCATGAAACTGTACAAGTTTGTTGTGTCAAGTTTGTTGACGCAACTAAGCTAATTGATATTGATAGCGATTCGCAGTGACTGTTTCGCCAGGTTAAAGAAACTTACAGAACAGTATTTTTTAATAAAGTTGCTGATTACATTGCAAAATTTCACCGACCAAAGTATAGGTGCATTTTGTAATATCTGGTGATCGTTCATCACACACTGACCAATTCTCTTTTTTAAGTCACTTGAGTGTTTCATTTTTGTAGAAATTCATATTATTGATAATAGAGGGCTATCAATTTAAATCAGTGGATTACCTACTGTTGTGAACTTTTTTTTTATATTACAAACTTTGTTGACACAGTATAAAACAATAAAAATACGCAAACCTCGATTAAATCACAGTGCAAAAATTTCAAGAGTCAATGTGATGAGAAATCAGTTCAACCACTTTCTAATTAGGCCGGACCCTAAAGTACCTTTTACGAGCATAAAAAAATACAAGACAATGGAGAGCATCTAACGGCTAATGTTATTGCTTTGCTTGTAACAAATTAGTTGATAAATACATATCTTTTGCCTATTAACAATGTTTTGTTTACTTTGATAATAAGTTTCCGTTCACATAATGTTGTACGAATAGCTTTCTTAAATAATATTAGAAAGGCTCTTGTTAGGGTTAGTTCTTCACCAAACGTTTTGTGTTATTATTAGTATTATTGATTATTAGTAATACTGAATTTTTCTTAAACCCTCTCATCTTTATTTGGATGTTTAAAAAGAACTTTTTAACCTCTAGTCCATTTAACTGATTGTCGGATGGATAATTTTTTAACTTGTAGATAAATTCAGCATACTAAATATAAATTTATGTTTTAAAATTCAGCATATACTCAGCATATAAACAAATTTAATCAAATAAATATTCTTTTAAATTATAACTGTTCAACTGATATTTTTTACTTTAAAAGCAAAGGCAGAACAATTTTGAACATTTAGCAGAACATTTTTGGATCTTTAAAAAAAAAAAAATATTCCTGGACCCAGAGAAATTCTAGAAAAATGTTAAATATAATAGTTTTTTCATTATTAAGTAATTTTAGCCACACCTTACGGTTTCTAAGGTACTTTACGACGCTTACTGCAGCGTTGCGAACTCAACCTAAAACGTTAGTTAAATGATTAAGTTTTAGCTTTCACCCAAACAAATTGTGTTAATTCCATTTATTATTCAATATATACAGTTGGGGCTAAACTTTTCCAAAAAATCACCCTCGGAACATAAAAAGTAATAATAACATTTATAATAACATTGATGTAGAGTAGAGGGGTTGCCATAAAATTCTATTAAATATATAGAGTTTTAGACATAAAATATATATATAAAAATCTATATAAAGTATATATTTAAAGAATTAAAAAAATATAAAATTTTATCTACAAACTTTACACATATATAAAAGCACATACACATATACACGCACATACACATATATAAATGCATTTATATATAAATATATATATATATATATATATATATATATATATATATATATATATATATATATATATATATATATATATAAATATATATATATATATATATATATATATATATATTTGTGTGTGTGTGTGTATACATATATATATATGAATGCAAATTGAAAACCATTTTCGAGTGCTGCTTTAAATTAAGACGCAATTTAGAAAATTAGTTTTAGTTTTCAAAGTATTTTTTACTTTTTTAAAAAGTTGATAAAATATTTTTTATTAAAAACATTAACATTCATCAAAAAATAATGTAAAAGCTCTCTCTCTCTCTCTCTCTCTCTCTCTCTCTCTATATATATATATATATATATATATATATATATACATATATACATATATACATATATATATATATACATATATACATATATATATATATATATATATATATGTATATATATATATATATATATATATATATATATATATACATATATATATATATATATATATATATACATATATATATATATATACATATATATATATATACATATATATATATATATATATATATATATATATATATATATATATATATATATATATATATATATATATATATATATATATATATATATATATATATATATATATATATATATATATATATATATATATATATATATATATATATATATATATATATATATATATATATATATATATATAATAAAATATGCAATTAAGATTATATACCAACACAAAGTACAATACTTTAAAGTATAAAAAATATTTCTATTTAAAAGATAAAATAAAATAAAAATGTCTAAAATAAATAATTTTATTGCTATTATGTTCATTTATAAAACCAACTTATGTATAATAATAATTATAATTTTCTAATTGTTTTACGAATCATTGTGGTACCAACTCTTTTAATCGTTTTTCTTGCGTTTTTATAATCTTTTAAACGCAAAAAGTATACGATTGGATCAATAAAGACTTGCAAAAAGGCAAGGCCTATCAAAAATATTCTTGCTTCACTTTTTGAAGTTGAACTTTCAGAGTTCATGTCTGTCCAAGTCATGGAAAATGTTGGAGCGTTGCAAGCAATGAAAGTGAAGACAATCATAACTACTGTTTTTGAAGCTTTTATTTCACGCTTTCTATTGTTCATTAATCTTTGAAATTCCTTTTTTGCTGTAGACGCTACACTTTGAGTTCTTGTTTGGTGTTCTATTGGTTCGATTCCTTGGTTAGTAGAAGATATTGCTGCGGTATCATAGCTTGATGTAACCATGGCAATAATGGGATTGGAAAATCTTGTTTCTGTTATAGCTGGTGACTTCCTTGTTCGTCTCCTAACTTGTGTTTCTCGCATTTGTTTCGCGCTTTTGTACGCCATATGAAGCATGAATCCATAAGAAATAACCATTATTAAAAGAGGTAGTCCAAAAAAAATAGCATGCACTATAATTATATAAGTATCAGTACCGTAAAGTTCATCTGTATTACAGCCGAACATGTGTGCTTGAAAATTGTAAGATTCAAACCAATCATTACTGTAAAAGAACCGAGGCAAAACTATTTCAAAGAATATTGGAAAAAACCAGAGCACAAATATTGCAAATGCTAACCTCTCTTTTGAAATGGCATCATCATACCGATAAGGAAATTGTATGATCAAACACCTATTTATACTTTCTGCAGCCAGATGAAATGTTGTTACAAATATAAGCAGCATGCCAAAGCAACTCGTAATAACACAAAATTTGAAATCTTTTATAGCAAAATTTATTATCACACCAAATATAACAAAAATTTTTAGCGTATCACAAACTGCAAGACTGACCAGCAACGCGTAATGTTTCTTTCGAAGTATACGATATCTTATGACAGAAACTAAGATAGAACCATTACAAAATATTCCCAGTAGTGCAACCAAAGATAAAAAGACGTACAAATATACCATGATGCTTTTTGTAATCTTTATGTTTAATCTAAACAGTGACAGGTTATTTGATATATCTATATATCTATATATATTTACATATATATATATATATATATATATATATATATATATATATATATATATATATATATATATATATATATATATATATATATATATATATATATATATATATATATATATATATATATACATATATATATATATATATATATATATACATATATATATATATATTTATATATATATATATATATATATATATATATATATATATATATATATATATATATACATATACATATGTATATATATATATATATATATATATATATATATATATATACATATACATATACATATACATATACATATATATATATATATATATATATATATATATATATATATATATATATATATATATATATATATATATATATATATATATATATATATATATATATATATATATATATATATATATATATATGTATATATATATATATATATATATATATATATATATATATATATATATATATATATATATATATATATATATATATATATATGTCTTCCATCTTGAAACAGCTTTTAAGTTTTAATGCAAAGATTTGGTGTTGGGAAAAAAACTTTAATTGTTTTTAATGTTCATTAAAAAAAAAAAAAATTAAGTTAGAACAATGTTTTAACTTCTTATTTCAAATCTTATTTAATTGTTGTTAATTTACGATATTATTTATCCATAACAATAACTTAAGCGCTATTAAATCATAGTAAATTGAAAATAGTCAAAAATTTCGGATAATAAATTTTGTGATAAAAAAATGAATATTTCACTTTAGAAAAATTGACATTCTTTTGTCCTGTTTTTTTATATCTGATAATATTAATACGCTAATTTAATAGTAGTTAATAGTCGACTTAGGTCATTTTCTAGGCTTTTCTATTTTAAAGTAGTTTCTAGGCTTTTCTATACGCCTTTTTTTTTTAATTTTATTTACTAACAACCCGTACTACGGGTTGCTTACTGGTAGTATATATTATTTTAACATAATATTATTTTTAATATAATAGGATTTTAGAACATTTTCAAAATATTGTAATTTTCTTAAACAACAATAAAACATTAATATAAAGTTCTAAGAATGTGACGTTTTGAAGTTTTATGATGTTTTTAATATATAATATAATATTTTATATTAAAAACTTATATATAATATTTATCTGTAAATTTTTAATTTTGGATTATTTTTTATTTTGTTATTATTAGCCTGTTAAAAAAGGTAAATCAATAACAAAAAAAATTAGAATAGATTGACCTTAGAAATATGAAAAGCTCCCTCCTAATGTCTCTATTTCCTCTTTTTATGTAATAATACCCTAAAAGTAAATTTGAAGTGGGCCACATGTGCATTTAATTGATAGCCACACTCGATATATGGGATAGCGTTAATGTAGGCTATGTGTGTCTATAATATTTATACTATTCATGTGGTGGGCACATGAATGCTTTATAATACTTATACCAGTTAAGGATTATAAATATCATAACTTATACAGCTTATACAGGGCCGGCGCGAGTAGGTGTCACGTGGGGGAGTGCCATTACAACTTTTGCCGACTAAAAATCATTGATGAGGGGGTGTCACACCCCCCTATCGCGCAGGCCTTGGGCTTACATCTATACTATCTTATAAATGGAGTATAGATATTACATGTGGCACATATTGTAATCTCTTGTCATGCATATATAATAGGTGAAAGGAATGAAATTATGAAAATAAAATACACAAGCAACTCTTATTTGTATTTCAAATGTGAAAATATTTTCTATAAAAGATTGAATGACTTGAAATCTTATAGAAGATAAAACTCTGTAATGCTCATATGAATCATCCAATTTTGAAAGTCTAACATAAAAATATTTTCAAAATATTTTTGTTGAATCAAACTATAAAAAAATAAATAATTTAGAATGTTGTTGTGCGCTTGTGAGGTGCTGTGTATTTGATACGTGCAAAGTTTATTTTTAACAAATCAGTTAACCTATACATTTTTTGTACGCTAAAAATTAGACGTTATTAATTGATTTAAACTTTTAGACGTGAAAAATTTGTTTGAATCAAACAAATCAATCTTAATGCGTTACGTAGGAAACCAAATCTTAATTATTATCTACTTAGTCCGTTGTAATAATTTTATCCCAATAAATGCATCCCACATATTTTTAAGGTTAGCAATACTCTAATAGTGGAAATATGAAAAAAGTTACAAAAGAATTGTAAAAATTAATTTTGCGTTCATTTTTTAAACTTGTTATTTTGTAAAATTTGGCATTTTTTTCAATTTCCTAACATACATTATTACAAACAATTTTCTATCATACATTATTACAAACAATTTTCTAACATACATTATTACAAACAATTTTCTAACATACATTGTTACAAACAATTTTCTAACATACATTATTACAAACAATTTTCTAACATACATTATTGCAAACAATTTTCTAACATGCATTATTACAAACAATTTTTAGACATACATTATTACAAAAATCAACTACTACTAATTAAAAGCAGGTTATTTAAGTTTTAGTAAAAAAAAAATAGTTTCTCTAATAACATCTTAGCTACAGTTATTGTCCTCTAAAAAAATTTAAAGATTTGAACTCTAATTTGTTATACTTTTTTTATTTAACTTATCTGCTTTTTCCATTTTTGTAAACTAAAAAATTAAAGACACTCTGAAACATTAGAATATTTGATTTTTTTTTCCTTTGTTTTAGTAAAAATATTACTTTTTGTATTTGAAAATAATTGATAATCCAACCAACAGTCAAAGATAGAGAAAGCATAAGTTTAGAAATAATCATTAAACGAAGAGTTTGATTTCAGAAAATTCTGCTTATTTCTAAACAAAAAACTTTAAAAGAGACAGAGCCATTCTAAATATTTTAAGACATTTAAAATATTTTATATCTAAAATAAGATTTTTAAAGACATTTAAAATAAAAAAGATATAACAAATCCTCATATCTCATTAAATAAATATGCTAGAGCTCTAAAATTGTATTGTTGTTTTATTATTATTATATGTATTATTATTTATATTTTTAATAGTAGTATTTTTTCTTTAGAAACTTTCTTCAATATAAGTATTTCACATAAAAATAAATATTTATACATAAAGAATAGAAATTTCACGCAATCTTTCTTAAAATATAAAAATGGTTTTTTAAGATAAATGGAGTTAAATACGCAACAGTTTTATAACAAATTTATGTTAAAAAATGATAAAATAAAATTAATACGTAATAGAACTCATAGAAATAATAATACATAATAGATATAAAAAATAACAACAGTAGATGATAATATAATGATAATAATAATATTAGATAATAATAATATAATAATATTAATAATAATAATAATAATAATAATAATAATAATAATAATAATAATAATAGATAATAGATAATAAATTAATAATGCATAACTCAGGAGCGGATCCAGGCTGTAGCAATTGCTGTAGCTAGTGTAGCAATTGCTACAGTCAGCTCAGTTTTTTATTCTCTTTTTATTTTTTACATACATTTTTTTATAAGCTATGGAGGTTACAAGTCAAAGTAGTCAAAATGCGACGCTTCAAAAATTTATTCAAAATTGTAGCTGAGCCAAGTTGACTATGTTACGGAAATATTTCATTCGGAAAAATGAAATGCTTCACTGAAAAACCCATGCTTTTAACGGGTTTTGTCTTATATGCCCATAAATTTATGAAAGAATGGAAAACATTTCGAAACGTATAAACCAATGACGTATAAATATAACTAGATGCAGCTTTTTGCGTATAACTTAATAATATAACGTCCGCCGTAATGCGGTACGGCAAAAACATAGGTCGCGACTATAAAAACATAGAGAATTATTTATCTAAATAATAATTAGTCATGAAATTTTGATTAAGTTTTATAATTTTGTTAAATTAAATTTGATTTGATTAATTAAGCATCTATAGAGAACTAATTTTTACTATATTTTCAATTTATATATATATATATATATATATATATATATATATATATATATATATATATATATATATATATATATATATATATATATATATATATATATATATATATATATATATATATATATATATATATATGACTAATATATTTAAAACTTTTGTATAATTTTATTTTATTTGAGACCAGACATTATTTGTTTGAAATGTTGACAATATTGGGGATCCGTTAAATGTTTAAGGTTTTTGAGGCACTTATGACTAAAAAGCAAATTTCAAATCATGAAAATTCACAAAAATTAAAATCATAATTTATTACAGTAGAAAACCTAAAAATAAAACAGTAGAAGTATTAGTATAGTAATAAAAGTTTAAAAATATTCAATTAAAAGTATGAATCAAAACTAGTAAATTTTTAAAGTCTTTTAACAAAATTTTTTTGTTCTTTTATTCCTTGAATAGGTTCGAGGTAATATTTTTGACGTTTTGAGTCTAATGGTTAAAAATCTAGCAGCAATTTTATTAATTGAACAACATGTAAGTCCTCATAAAAATGATCAACATGTAAGTCATTATAAAAATGATGCGACTACATCTAAATCAGTCGATTTATGTACGGATATTCCACTTATTTAATGAAACTTTGAAAATAAAAATTAATAACGAACATATCTATATATAAACGACAATTATATTTAAAAAACATAAAACTACATAAAACTATAAATCAAAACTAAATAAAATTACTTAGACATTAAAAATTAAAAAAAAAAATCGCAAATGAAGAATTAAACTTTCAACCCTGTCGGCCGCGCCTCAAATAGTAACATTATTTACATCCACAGAAGTACGCGTTACGTATTACGTCAAAAGTATTTTAATATTTTTTTGCGTACAAATAAGATTTTTATAATGTAAACATTATTAGTATGCACGTAAAATAATGACTCCCTAATAGAAATGCCCAATTCACAAAGTAAAATAAAATAAAAAATAATATATATAATTAATAATATACAATTATTATTATGCTTTATAATAACTTATACAATAAACAATAGTATTACATTTTAATTATAAGTGTATTATTAGTATTGTTATTAGTATTTGTATTCTACTAATACTAACGACAGTTAGTATTAGAGTAATGCTATTAGTATTAGTACAATACTACTTTGTATTAGTATTATACTAATACAAAAATAAGGCGTGTCGTTTCACAGGTATGATGAAACACTTATACTTATTATAAATGTTTCATCATACCTGTGAAACGACATGCCTTGTTTTTGTTTTTGGCGATTTGTGCACCCATATGCACAGTGGATAGCAATCATTAAATGGATAGCAATCATTAAATGAAAAGTTTTCTATTAGTTATAAAGACTAAATTAAATAGCACCGTCTGTTGGTTTCTTTATTTAGTTAATAATAAAAATGGTGAAATTAGTTTATATTTATGAAAAATGGTGAAATGTGTTTATTGCTGTTCTGCGAGTTATTTATCATTGAAGAAGTCAAACGATTTAAAAACGTTTTAAAAAATTTATAGATTTCCCAGAGACAAAAATGAAGAAAAAACGTTGGATAAAATGTTTATCTAATGCGAGTTTTAAAACGTCTAGCAACACTTTATTATATGACCTAATTGGCTTCATAACTTCAAAAAAGTTTAACTAAAATAACATTTTGCACAATTTTTTTCTCAGTCTGAAATTAAAAATCTGAGACTAATAACCTATCTAAGATTCAGATAGATTTTTAGTTTATTCTAAAATTGCAAGGAACATTTTACTACTTTTTTTTTTAATTTGGAAATTTCTACTACTAACTATTATTCTCTGTGACAAGGTGTATGTTACAAAAATGCAATTGTATGTGGAAGTTGCTTTTTTTTGGAAAACCAATTACATAAATTCTCTTTCGAAAAGTGGTTTAGGTGCTATGATAACTTGTTGTAAAAGTTATATGTTTGATGGTCCTAAAATTCTTTTAAAAATGTTGTTAAAACCTGTACAAAAATTTCTAATTTTTATTTGATCAAATTTATTTAACTTTAGAATCAGTAAGAGAGTCAAATAGCAAAGCAAAGACAATTATACGTGATAAAAATCTAACTCTAACAATTATTGGTTAACTACAGATGGAACTTTGTTGTTTGGATTTTGTCCACGTTGTCAAAAAGATACAAAATAATGTACTCAAAAAGCAAAACTTTTTTTTTTGATAATACTTACAATGTTCTTTTTAATCACCCTGAAACTTCTACTATCTCAAACATTAACAAGACTTGTTATTTTATTAAACTTGCTGTCACATAATGGAAAACTTTTAATTTATGAATTGTGGGCAAATATTTTAGGTTTAATAATAATCAAAAAGCTTCCTCAAAGATCTAAATGATAAACAAAGAAGTTTTGTTTTGGACTTTTGCGATACAGCATTATGCATGAAAAAAAAAAATCAGAAAATAGGCATAAAATAACAACACATGTCACAAGGCATTTTACAAAACATACACGTGAAGAAATAGTCTAGCTGATTAAAACGCTATTAAGAGAAACAAATTTCTTATATTGTACAAGTATGTTATGTAAGGAAAATTTGTTACAGAACTACTTGAAACGGAATTTAAAAATTTAAGAAAAGTATCTTTAGACATATTTTTAAGTGTTCTTTAAAACCTACGAATTCTCTTGTTTACATTAACATGTATTTTGAAATTATGGTTTCCTTAACGAATATGAAATTTTGACTAGTATGTTTTATTTTTTTAAACTTTGCTCAATATCCAAAATCATTTGAAATAAGTGGATTAAAAAGTTCTTTTGACAATACTGTTCAATGGCTTTCCTTCAATTTGCTTAAAGATAAAGTTTGTTTGACTTCCATATTCAATATTTTTATGCTTTACTTAATTGAAATTTTATGCATTACTTAATTGAAATTAAGTGTTATCATCACAATATACTTTCCTTTATTAATTTATAAAAAACCAGTAAAAACTTTCTACACCAAAATCAAACAAAGAACTATGTTGTTTTAAGCAAAAAACGACCATATTAAGTTTGTCCATATTATGTATGTCCATATAAGTATGACCATATTAAGTTTGTTTGTTAGGTTGACATTTATTTATTAACACTTTTGTTTTTATTATTTGTTGATTTGTTAATTATATCGTTAATTTTAATATGCCTGAGGTTTTGGTATGTTTAATTGATAATTGTAATATGTCTGATGTATTGGTATTTTAAAAGCATTCCTTATTTATTTTAAGTAATTTATTTTTTATTGAAAAAAAATTTATTGAAAAATTTCGTTACTTTAGTTCTATTTTTTATTTGATTTGAAACCTGTTTCTTTTTTTTATTATCTGAAAAAAAGTTTCTTGTAATGAAATTATGAAGTTTATTATTAAAAATATGAAAATATTTATAAATTATTTTTATAAAGTTATGTAAATCCTTGCAGTGTCTGTTTCAATTTTCATATATTTTATAAAGTAAGCCATTAAATAAAGAATAATGTGTTTCAAAACAAATTTTAATTAAATAAAAAAAAAAAATTAATTTTAAACAAATTCAGATTAAATTTGTCATTTTTATTTTATAGTATCAACCTCTAATTTTTTTGAAGACCAAAATATTTTAACAACCACAAATATTTTGTTGATATAAATATAAAGATAAATTTATGTGAAAATGTTTTGTGTATTATTTGGCATAAATACACCGACTAGCAATAGGAATACCAAGAACTAAATGTAATACATCGACAGTGGATAAAGGTTTAGTCAGGGTTTTAGTCATGATGTAAAGTCATAAAAAAAACAAGTAAACTATCATTTCATTAAAAAGTATTCAGTTTAAGTAGGTGGTTTTAACGTCGCGTAAATCAAGTAACCTTCTTCCGCTCTAAACAGACGGAATAAGAAAGCAGTGGTCGGGGACCTCGTGTATCAATATAAGCCACTGTACATCCAAAGCTGGCGCAAATGATGTGTGATACCCTACCCTACCCCTTATCAATGAATTTTAGTTCATTATGCCTGCAAATTTTGCTCTTTTAGACTCTTTTAATACAGTCGGCAAACTGGACTTTTAGTACCGTCAACAAATATGAAAAGCGAGGACTTTTTTTTTTTTACAGTCAATAAAAATCTTGGATCCGTCCCTGTAACTAGTCCTAAAACTACAATCACTTGTTGTTTTTTTCGATAGACTATTTTTCGTCATATTTGTAAGTCTTGATTATGATTGCTTATTTACAGTCTGCCAAAAAGTCCATCAAAGTCGAAAGCCTAAAATTTATGGAGACCACGAATCCAGGTAACGAACCATTTTTTATGACAAATTAAAGACGAAGTTTTTTTAAACTTTTTTGTGTTTAAGTTGGTATTTCATTTTTTGGCACGAGTTAGGCAATTTAGAAAATGCAGAAATGCGAATTAAAAACAATAGGAAAAGATATGGTAAATGCTACTGTAATGAAAAAGCAACTCTCCTTTGACACAAGAGTAACTGCTCTACGCTGCATTGTGTCCAATACACAGTTTTGTTCCTTTCTACGCAATAAAACTTGATATAGTCCTGATAAATATATAATTTAACGAAAGATATTATCATCGTAAACACATTTATTTCAAGTAGTATAATTGGATTAGATACAAGAAAATTTTACTTACCAACGTGGAAAGCAGTTTTGCTATAATACATACTTTATCTTTGTGAAGTGATAAGAAGTTGTCTATAATCAGTATTCAAATAGTGATCAAAAGATTTTTTTCTTTTTACAATAATCAATGTAGTGTGTGACAACCAATCTCGCCTTCATCTTTTTCTTATCTTTATAGCCTTCTGTTTTAAATTTTAACATGATTGAGGGGAGCTTTATTATCTCAATTAAAAAACACAAACCATTTAAAAATTTCATAGATCCTTTAATTTTACATTTTTTTATTTAAAAAGTAGGCCCTTTTAGTCGGCCAACTTTTTAGTTATTACCAATAAAATAAAAAAGTTAACAAAACAACTAAAGTGTTATTAAATGCATTAGCAAATAGTTTGTCAAATTAATTTTTGCTAATTAAGAAAAAATCTTTCATATTTTATAAAATGCGTATATATATATATATTTTTATATATATTTATATATAAATATATATATATATATATATATATATATATATATATATATATATATATATATATATATATATATATATATATATATATATATATATATATATATATATACATATATATGTTCAAAAATGGTTTGCATTTTTTTTTTAATTTATTTTAATTTGTTGTTGTTATTAACAGATTTTTTCCCAAAGGCATGAATATAAAAGTTTGTAATTGAAAATTAAAAGCATGAGTTAATTTAAAAAAAATTTTACAATAATAAAAACATTAACTTCTCTTTTAACTCTACGTAATCAAATATTTACATCTTTAAAATCTGAAAATACTTCGACTAATTTTATCTTTTACTTTATAAATTTCTTAAAAAGTCAATTTTTTTAGTACGTATCGTTGAAGCTTTTCTAGTAATAGCAAAGTAAGCTTTATAATGAACTTCCGTAACAATGTTCCAACGCAAATAAATAAATTATATTACTATCATGGTAAGTCAGCTTTTTTTAGATTATTTGTATTTTGAGCTTCTTTAATTTAAATAAATACTGTTAATTAAGCAATAAATCTAAATATGTAAATTTTCTGATATATGACATTTTCTAATGATAACGCAAGCTTAAAAAATTGGTTTAACTTTGCGATGTAAAAAAAAATACTTTTATAAATGACCACAAAATGTTTCTAAATAATAAATCTCCGAGATTAAAATCTTTTTATGCTAACATATTTGAGTTATATATTTAAATTTTAAAAGCTGCAATAATTTTTCACCGGTCGGAGGACGTTTTTCAAAAGAAAATGGTCATGGGAATCGATTTGATTTTTTATACCGTATTATAGACTTTTTTGAGCCAATATGACATGATTAAAAAAGTAAAAAAATAAAAGCCAACGGCAAGATTTATTCACAGCATACACATACTCCCCTTGGTTTTTTTTGTTTGTTTTTTATTTACATATAATCTAAACAAACTTAAAAACAAACTATAAACAATAATATAAAGTATGCGTTTGTTTGACCTTTTTTTTTTTAACTTCTTAACCGTTGGAACCTTTAAAACTTCCAATGGCTTTTTTAAATTTCTTTAAAAATTCTACTTTTTAATATAAAAAGTTACTTCAAATAAAAAGCAAAGCCTTTACTACGTAAACAACTTTACGTAGAAATAACAGTTATGCTTTCAACATACATCAAATTATTTCTTTTACAACAGATTAGATGTTGCTGTAAAATATTTTATTATGTGACACAACTTATTTATAACTCAGCTAAAACAGATAAATATTTAAACAAAAATAATGCTAAAATACAAATTTATTTTACTTGGAGTTTAATTGTCGCATTTAACAAAGTTATAGCTGTTTCTCGTTAAAAAAAATTGAATAGCTTTTCTACGATATAAAGTTTTAAAGCACGCGTAAATGGTTTAAGCTTGTTTCCTTCAAAAGAATTTTAAAGCAATTTATGACCCACTGTGCTCGGGACGTAACATTGAAACGGTTACGTCAGGACACACAGTGGTACAAAATAAGTTAAAATGAAAAATTATTCTTAAAAATTGTAATTTATTTGGAGACAAAATAATTTGAAATTAGGATTCCATTTGAAGCATAAAAATTAAGATTTGATTAATCTAACTAGCGATAAATCTAATCAAGCGGTTAAGTACCCGTTTGATTACTTTTTGATATGCGCATGAAGCGTATAATAAGTAACTTTTTATTTCTAATTTAGCTGTAATTTTAAACTGGAAACCCTTAAAAGCAAATAGGGTAAATAGATTTTGCTATGCAAAGCTTAAGATATTAACAACTAACTTATTACCGCATATATTTACTGCACGTTTCATTTTTTTTTTTTTTTTTACTGCTTATTTTTCTTATTTACTCAAAAAACATATAAAAAAATTCCTCCTAAAGTAGTTAAATCCAATTAATAGATCATCAAGTCAATGATGGTATTGTTATTTACTTTATCTCTCCATTAAGAATTAAGTTCTCAACCATAAAAATAAGTCAACATTCTTGACTTAAAAAATTTTGAAGAAGAGTTTTATCATTTAAAAAAATGTGAAAACACTTTTTTTAAAAAAGTATTTTGCTGATAAAAAGTTGCGTTAACAGTATTTTAGCAAATTAATATTTAAAACCTCGTTTAAACACAAAAACGTTGGCTCATATTTAAATAATAAGTCAAAACTGTAAAACTATTTGTTGTATAAAATCTACTTATTGTATAAAATGTGAAATGTTTTATAAGTTTTAAAATTTAAATTATTTAAATTTTAAATTTAAAAAAAATCAGTACTCTTAAACTTTACATAAAAAAGTCCCAAAACAGGTCAATAAAGCTTACTTAATTGCGAGCAGAACTCTCAGGAGCTATTTAAAAAATGCACTTTTTTATTTGACTCTGCTCATCTAAAACCTGTGGCATATATCCGTCATAAAAAGCATGCAGTTTGTGCACCGAATAATAAGTTTGTGCACCGAGACTACTACTAATAATAAGTGATATTTATATTGGAGAAAGAGAGGTAGAGATTTTCAAGGAGTGTTGCTTTGAAAACGAAAGCTTTTAATACAATGACAATATAAAAAATAATATAGCTTTTTTAAATATGCTTTTAATAACGCATTTGTTTACTGTGACTGAACCACGTAAATATTTAATACAGACATATTTATAACCTTAGGAAAGTTTTCTTTTTTGGGGTAGGATAATTTACACTGAATTCTCATTTAACTTCAAAAACTGGACTAAAAAACTTGATGAAAAAGATAATAAACCGAAAAACAATTTTTTAGCTTTTTCATCAATTTTATCTTGGTTTATGTAACTTTTTGATAAAATAAAATAATTATAAGCTTTCTTTTTTTGTACGTTGGATAAAAAAATTTTGCATCAAAAAATTAGATATCGTTTTTTTGTTATTTGGAAAATCAACGAATCAAACGTTGATATTCCAGATTTGTACAGTTATTTACCATACTTGGCTTTACTTGAGTTAACTTCATGCTTTATTTAATTCTTTGTGTAAATGCTTCTTGTCACTATTTCTATACTATTTGTTTCTAGTACAAACAATTTCTTAGTTTAATCCTTTAAAAAATTTTTTTTTACTGATTCCAACTTATCCGTAGATCTCAGACTTTAAAATATTGATTAATTTCAATATACAAATCATTAAACTTTTAAATACTTTAAATTTTAAATTCGAATAATCAATATTATAATATAAAGCAGAAATCTAATTTCTTTAATCTGCTTTAATATGTTCGTATAAATATTAAATACTAAAGCAATAAAACAAAAAATAAATTATAAAATAAAACGTAATACGTAAAAGTACCTTTACCAACTAATAATTATACATAATGAGTGTTTAACTTTAAAGTTTATGTTCAATATGTTTATATAAATATTAAATACTAAAACAAAACAATAAAAATATAAAGTATAAAACAAAATGAAATACGTAAAAATAACTAAATGAAATACGCTAACAAATAACTATACATTATGAGTATAAAACTTTAAAGTTAATTACACATTGAAGTTACTTTTGCATTGATATTCTTATGTTTTTATTTCCTGTCGTGTCTTCAAACTCGCTCGCACTTGTTTATGCTAAATAGACTAAATAAAAAAGTAAAAAACTTACATGTTGAAGGTTTCTTTGGTTTAATACATTTTTACCCAGGTTTTGTTTTCTTTTTTATCCCTGAATTTTTTTTTATAAGTGGTCCCTACTCAGTTTTAGCAAATAAAAGCGAATAAACTATTATAAAAACAAGCTTACCTCATGAATGTTTGCTAATATTTAAGAGCCATGAGGTCAAACAAAATCAATTGATGTCATTAGTCCAAATTGCTCTGGTATTGTTAAGTTATTTTTCAGAAAAAAAAAACAAAAAAAATCAAGGGATATAACAAACTATATTAGAGATAATTCCAGTTAAAAAATATTCTTGCGTTGTTTTTGTATTTATAATTAAAACAAAATCTGCTATATTAATGTATATAAATAAAATTTTTAATATTTTTAGTTTGTATTAACCATCGCACTTGGAAACTGTTTTGCCTACCTACTTGAAAAGACCTAATAAGAAAGTACTTGAAAACGACATGATTATAATAGTCATTTTAAAAACTATTCGTGACATTTTGAATTTATGACTAAAAAGTTAAACGCACCATAAGAAATTCTATTTTATATTTTATTTTAAGAAAAAGTTACGCTGTTTTTTTTTCTCTTTCAAATTTTTCATAATTATAAAAAACTAAGTAAGCAAAAATTTATTCTGCCAGCAATTTACTTATCTACAAAATAGTGGCAAAGTAACATTTGGTATCGCTGAGAATGTAAATGAAATACAGTGTACTTCATAAATAAAACTGCGACTGCGAAATGTTTTTTTTAGTTGACTCTATTTTTAGTTTGACGTTAAGATCATTGGAGACCATCACACCCAGGGCCGTCCAAAAGAGATTTTAAAAGAGGGGGGCGGGGTGCTGTGTCTTTTTTTTGCCGACTAAAGCCAAAAAAAATGTTTTTGCTCACTAATTTATCTATATATAAAAAAAAGATCCTCGTTTTCCGACATTTGCCGACTGTTAACTATAAATTTAATTTTGCCGACTCTAGTGTTCGATTTGCCGACTAATTCGTAGGGGGGGGGGAGGAGGGTAGACAGCCTTACGCCCCCCTCGGACGGCCCTGATCACACCAAGGTCTTGTTTGACTACAGTCTTTTTGAGTGTAAGTTGTGACGTAAGCCAATGAGTATTTATGCGTCGATTTGTTATATGCGCGGCCAACATATAGGGGAAAGCGGGGCAACATGGCGAACGTTTTGAAAGCCCTGAGTTACTGCAAAACTATTAGTCGTGAAGCTATAATAATTTCTCAGTATGTTCATTTTATTAAAGTTGCATTAATTATATTTAAAAAAACCAATTGGTATTTTAAAATACAAGATGCAAATACAGTTTCGTTTTTACTCAACTTTAAGATTTTTTGTTGAATTGTTATTTGAAAACCCATCTTGCCCTATTCGCCAATTTGCTCCGCTTACCCCTATTATATGCGATAAAATGTTGCGATACTCTATGGTTTATTACTTATACATTATTAAAGTTACAAATTGTTACTAATAAAATATTACTATAAAAATGTAGGCTTTATTTTCTTCTTACTTTTAAGAAGCTTTTATATTTTAAATCAGAGCATAATTTAACGTTGATGACTATATAAATATATAATTTAACGTTGATGACATATAAATATATAATTTAACATTGATGACTATATAAATATATAATTTAACGTTGATGACTATATAAATATATAATTTAACGTTGATTACATATAAATATATAATTTAACGTTGATGACATATAAATATATAACTAAATAATTCCGAATTTCATGTGTATATAATTTTCACATATTTTATGTGTAAGACATTTTTTTAAATATATTATAATTCATAGAATTAAATGATTAAATTATAATGTTGTATTTATAAATAAAACAGTGCATTTTTTTTTGTAATTATATAGCAGATAATTTACATTTAAAATATATATTCTACATTTAAAGTAGGGAAAGTTAGAGTACAGTGGATCAAGGAGCACAGTAAATAAAAGGCATTTACTTAAAGATTAGAATTTTTTCATCTTGATAATCCAATCATTTTATGTGCTCATATATCAGCAATCTTTATTCATAGTGGTTACCAGGGCCGACAACGTCAAGGAGGGGGCACGTGCTCCCACTTATTTTCAAAAAAAGACCTTTGTTTTTTTATTAAGAGAAAATTCTAGATACAAAGGACTTTTTTTAGAAATAGATGATTGTGCCCCTCCACTTCAAAACCCGTGTCGTCGCCCATGGTTACCACATAACTTTTGACTTCCGGTTTTTGATAGGTAATTTTTGTTTTTAGCTAAATAAAGTAAATTTTCTTACCTTAAATATGTTTTTTATGGAGATCATGGTTGAAATAATTTTAAAAGTAGAAGTTTTTTATTCGGAATATTGATATTTATGCTTCCTTTTTGTAGTTTAGCTTTTCTTTTACCAACACTCATGTCCCAAGAAATTCGTCTTAAACTTAATTTGTTATGGTGGGGCACAGTGAATTGGTTGATTCACTATGGCCCATTAATGATCTTAATAATTAAATTCATGTATTTTTAACAAACAAACTACACGAAAATGAATTTATTAGTTTTAAGTTATAAGTTATAATAGTTAAATATTATTTAATATTTTAATTTTTTAATATAAATTTGTAACTTTTATAAGTTTTGCTATCAATAAAATTCTTTTTTTTTCTTCTCAATTTTCAAAATTATTTCAATTTTATACAATATTAATAAAAAAAGTATGCCAAAAGTATAATGTACAGTATGTTTACTCCCATCAGCCTCAAGTTATTTGGCTATGTACCTATTTACTATCATTAACTCACGGCTGAGTTCATTTATTCACTGTGCCCCAGCACTGGGGCACAGTGAATAACTAATTTAATTCTCTTTAAACCTTTCTGCAAGCCGTTAGATAATAAATATTTTGGTTTTAGTAATTTATTATCACGAAGGACATATATCTCAATCATTTTGAATTGAAAAGAATAAAATACATATTTTAACTTTTGATCAATTTAAAAAATAAAGAAATCCACTGTGCCCCAACTTACCCTTTATATTCTAAATAAACAATATATAAACCTTTATCGAACTAAATTTTCAGTATTTCGGCACAATTAAATGATTAGAAAAGTAAAAACATGGTTCAGTCAAGATTCTATATAACAGAATAATCTGCTACATTATTTCTGTAACATACTAGCATCTACGTAATATTGTTAGTAAGTTTATTATTTTAGCATAGGGGAGAACCTTAATGAATGGGAAAGTTTTCGTAAAATGCATTTTTTTAAGATAATAAGTTTGTTTAAAAATTACTTTAAAAATAGTTTTATAACTATTAATTATCGTACTACGATAAACAAAAACAAAAAAATTGGTTACGCATGTGAGTATTGATAAAAGAGAGTTTTATTGGACCACGGAATTTGTCTCATTCATTGAGAACTGCTCATTGAATGGACAAATATAAAGGATTCAAAAATTAGGAGAGGGCTAAAGTAAATTTTAAGCCAGTCAAGCAGGAAAGGTAGTTTATACAGTTAGTGATGCCGAAAAGGCTATTTAAATGGTATAAATGTACACAATAGGGTACAAAGTACGACATAACAACAAATCAACTTATTAGATTTAAAATGTCATTTCATTCATGTTAACTAATATAAAAATAAAATAATTTATATAAAATATGTAAATACAAAAAATTTTGTGTGACCATAACTAAGTTGCCGAAATATTTTTCCCTCTTTTTTCACAACAGTTCGTTTTGACATGTCCCATTCAATAATCTTTATTTTGTCCCATTCAATAAGCTTTCCACTACATCCACAAATGAAAAGACAGGCTAAAAACAGCAATACCTAACCGCAAATGCTTTACAAGTTTAAAAAGTAGAGACATTTGGGTGTTTAAAATTGGAGTTTGATTTTCCATGACTTTAGTAATCGCTGTAAAATCAGAAAAAAAAAATTATTTTTGAAAATTAATTATTGTTCTTCAAAACACAATAACATCTAATGCCATTATGTTATGACCATTATAGAAATAAAAATTTGGTCTGTTGAATACTTGTGTCAAACACTTTTTACCACAGGAGTTTGGATAGTCGAACGTAGATGCTTCTATGCAGATTTGATTTTTTCCCATTCAATAACATGTGAAACACAACATGTAAAAACATTTTGAAGTCGTGTAAGTCTAAAATGCTTTGTTTCAACGTCTTAAAAACGTAGTCTTTACTGGGTACATAGAAAATTATTTATAAAAAAGTATATCATTCTAAAGCATGGAAAACTTATTAAAGATATTGAATTAAGACGTAAAAAGCTCAACTCAAAACTTTAAAAATTTTTTTTATATATTTAATATATAAAATACTTTATAGTTTTAACATATAAAATGATAATTTTACTTTTGACCTTTTTTTAAATAAAAGGCAAATTCCATACTCTGCATGATATACCCAGCGGGCATTTTGACGTCCTAAGAACGTCCGTAAGACGTCTCAAGTCTCGTCCGTAAGAGATCCTTAATTGGTCTCAAATAAAAGGCTTGAGGACGTCTATTCCAGATGTCCTAAAGACGTCTTTTTAAGTCGTCCTAGAGACGTTTTTTTGACGTTCTAGAGACATCTCTGGCTGGTCTAATTTTAAAGACTTAAGGACGTCTTTTTCAGACGTCTAAGAGACGTTTAAATTTTACCAAGACATTTTTTTAAAAAATATATAAAAATGCAATGATTTACAACACAAACCTTAGATTTGCCTTAATCTAGGCAAGGGAAGTTATAAAAAGAAATCAATGTAAATAAAGTGTAATTTGATATATTTAAAATAAAATAATAACTTTACAAAAAATAAGAATAATTCTTCAAACAAAGTTACATTTTCAAATTAAAAACTAATAGGTACAGTAGAATATAATCGATAGTGCATTATAAATAGAAGAAAATTGCTTAAAAATGGAAAAAAATAAATAAAATACAACAGTTAAGCCATCATTGATCGAAATCCATATTAGTGGATGTTCTCTT